AAGCTGCTTCCGGGTTGGTCAGTCTTAGAGGGGCCTGTCTCTGCCCTAGCTTTCTGGCTGCCTCCTGAGGGTGCCTTTGCTGAGCATTGAATGTTCTGTCACTGGTGGTTGCTTGCCAGGATGAACTCTCTGCTGTTGTGGTGGTGGTCTGTTTTTAAAAGCTCAGTACAGTTTTAATTAGTATTTTTTCAACAGTAGGAGTTAGGGAATTAAAAAAAAAATGCAGTTCTGCTGCTGCTGCTGAATTGCACCAAACTGAGATAAAAATGTTGGTCAGTATTTTCATTTTGTGCCTTTGATTCTTATAATTTATCCTTGTTCACAGGGAAATTATGTGGACTAAAACTTTTCAAAGCATTTTGCAAATTTCTCACCAGTATTTTAGTGGGTGAATTTGCAAAAATCCTAACATATGCCATGATTAAAAAGTTTTAAACATCATAATTATGTGTATTGGGAACCATGCTGTGCTCTATTTTTAGGTTATTTTGGTTCTCTTGTCCATATGTAAATTGGAAGGTGAGACTTCCTAATACAGAAAAAAGGTTTGATTATGATTACATTTTCTAAAGGATACAAAAGAGGTAACAAGACCCTTATATTTAGTTCAAAATACTTTAGTTGATTTTTACAAATCCACTTATAATTTGAAAGTAAAAAACCCCATTTCCTGTGCTTTCCTTCAATATGAACACTAGGTTCTTTTTCTAAATTATGAATTTTTATTTAGTTTCATGTTTCAGTTTACAGATAGCTGTTACGATATTCAAACTAATGTTCATAGGAGTATTACAGAGAGGAGGGTGTAGTTTTTTATTTTATTAGAAAAAAACTTTTAAAGTTTATTTATTTATTTTGTAGAGACAGGGTCTCTCTGTGTTGCCAGATTGGATTCCAACTCCTGAGCTGAAGCCGTCTTCCTTAGCTTCCCTAATAGCTGGTATTACAGGCATGCAGGGTGGAGTTTTGTATTTAAAGCTGCCTCTAAAGAATTGAGGAATTGGATAAATATCCCAAAAACACCATTATGGAGGTTAAAAATGGACATTTCTTTTAGTTAAAGGTTGTATGGGGAGCTGGAGTTGAAGTTTCAAGTAGACTGGCATGGTACTTTGTAGGCAATAGATTGCTTGTTTATATTTCACATGCTGCCAGGCACAGGCCTTGACTTTTATTTTGACCATTCATCTGGCTGACAGTGTTTTATTAGTGTTCATAATTTGGTTGAAATGGTTTAGAGGAGCTGAATGACGTGGAGAAGCAAAAGTTATTTGAAAATGCTATTGTTTCTTTAAGTGAAAAAGAGAAATACTGAAAGTAGCTGTTTTTCTTTTAGCCACTCAGATTAAACCAGTTTTCATACATTACAAGAGTTCTTGGCTGAATTTATTTATACAGTGTATTTTGATAAGGACGTATGTCATGCCTTGACACTTATTTGCACGTCATGTCATGCCATGAATCACTCATTTCTATTGATGATGACAATGACAGCAATTATCCTTGTTTCTAGCATTGTGCTGGTTGCTCTGTGTATACTATGGCTAAGCCTCCCAATAACACTGCAAAGTTGAGGTCAGTTATCATCAGTTGTAGAAGAGGAAACTGATGCTCCAAGGGGCTACATGCTTTGGCCAAGTTCACATAGGTCCCAAATTAAAGGCTCTGTCTTACCTAAATCCAGTTTTCATGCATGATGTTTCTAAGTAGGACAGATATACTGTCTAAGTTGCAGTGTTTTATTTACTTTACTGACTAGCCAAGGTGAATTTTCACTGCTCACCGTAAGAAGTGCCTACTTTAAATAGCAAGACTGTGATTAAGTGAAGTCTTTGGTGTAGGAGAGATCAGTTACGGTGACACCTTTGGTTATTTTTGCTTTGGAGATTTATGAATTGCATAGGTGTGTTGCATTCCTTTGAGCACCCCAGATAAACAGTTTTTAAAAACACAGATTGAGTTTTTACCCCTTGCTAGCTGTTGTCTGTCAAGTGTTTTTTAAATGACATATTTGTTGTTCTAGGTTTCTAATGAATATTTTCTTTCTCTTAGGTTTTATATTACTTTGCCGTTAGTTTTGAAACCAAAAGAGCACAGTGAGACAGACATTGCTTTTGCCCAGCTCCCTCTGCAGTGCAGAGGATCGAGTCTAGGATTATAGAGCTCTTTCATTTTGTCCTATTGATGAGAAGCCGATGATTAGCTTCCAACTTGGCAGCACTGGTCTTGTGTTGAGACTGGCTTAACAGTCTGGCTGCTCTACCAATAAAAGTATACATTTTAAAGTTTTCTTGAGCTGAATGTTATAGATTATGAACATGCTTTAATTAATGTGCGCCCTAAAGATTATTACAGAAACTGTAAGTACAGTTCTGATTTGTTTGTAGATATAATTGAGTTACATCATGCTTGCTAGTTTTTTCAATGTTAGGAGGTGACATTTTGTTTTTGTTTTGCCAGAAAGTTTATTTGTCGAGTGGGATAGCTTTTTTTTTTTTTTTTTTTTTTTTTTTTTATTTAAGAAGAATACACTTGAACTATTTGAAGCAGTACCTTCTTAGGAGGTTTTGTTTGCTGATAAAGCTTTCCTATTCTAGCTGCTTGACTCATGCCAGAGGAGAAACATTAAAGGAGACCAGAAGGTGAAAAGAGTTGCCCTAACCTACAGGTGTGTGCTCATGAATTTTCCTAATGAGGAAGACTCATTGATTTCCTCATTGTCTTTTTTTTTTTTTTTTTTTGAGATGGAGTTTCGCTCTTGTTACCCAGGCTGGAGTGCAATGGCGCGATCTCGGCTCACCGCAACCTCCGCCTCCTGGGTTCAGGCAATTCTCCTGCCTCAACCTCCTGAGTCTCTGGGATTACAGGCACGCGCCACCATGCCCAGCTAATGTTTTGTATTTTTAGTAGAGACGGGGTTTCACCATGTTGACCAGGATGGTCTCGATCTCTTGACCTCGTGATCCTCCCGCCTCGGCCTCCCAAAGTGCTGGGATTACAGGCTTGAGCCACCGCGCCCGGCCTCCTCATTGTCTTTATTCCACAATAGAGTCTTAGAATATGTATGTCTATATAAAATTTTTAAAGCTTCTTGAGTTTGTAGCCAAATGTAATGTGGCTTTTTTTACTTGGAACTTTTACTGAGAGTGCTTGATTCGATTGTTCCTTAAAGAGGTAGTAAGTATTTAACACCCCCCAACCACCCAAACACATACTGTAGGCAAAACACAACTGCAGTTTCGTAGTCTATGCTTTCATTTTTTCAAACTTCTTTAGCATTTTTTTTTTCTGTTCTAACCTTTTCTCTGAAAAATAGGAGAAGTTATCTTTGTTTAAAAGGTTAAAACTTAGGAGGCTGAGGCAGGAGAATTGCCTGAACCCAGGAGGCGGAGGTTGCGGTGAGCCGAGATCGCGCCATTGCACTCCAGCCTGGGTAACAAGAGCGAAACTCCATCTCAAAAAAAAAGGTTAAAACTTGGTGCGTATATTAGGAAAATGTCCTGAGGGATTCTGGATAAGGGACTAGAACATTCTCAGTATTTTGAAGCATTTATTTTAGCTGCTTCTTATTCCTGCTTCTGTGGCCATGATCCTGAAATTTAAAAATGTTTTGATGAAAGTTTTACTAATCTAGTGAATGTGCAGTTATTTTGGATGCTTAATATTAAAAGTACATAACATTTATTTTTAATATACAGAGAATATTCTAATGAATAAGATGATGATACTGTGTGTGTAGTATATTAGTTTCTAAGATAATATGACATCTAAAATACTGCTAATTTGATACTTTCATAACTTTCATTTTGATATGTTCTTGTTTAATCAGTGTCTAAACAATGAAACCTAATTTCACTCTTAATGAATTATAACTCTCTGTTCCCGGTTAATGGACAGTAGCAAAGGATTGACTTCTGTTAAGAAGAAAACTAATATAGCATTGCTTAGGCTAAAATTCCCGTCTTTTTTTTTTTTTTTTTTTTTTTTAAAGAAAAACTAGTGATAAACAATCTTTTTTCTTGTATTTATATTTTTTTTTTTTTTTTTTTTTTTTTAAAGAAAAACTAGTGATAAACAATCTTTTTTCTTGTATTTATAATCCTACCTTTTGGTGTAGTCTTTTGTAGATTTCCTGAGGCGTCACATGCCACAAAAATGAAGGCAAACTGGTTTGTTCACCCATGTTTAGAACCCCAAAACGGAATTCTGTGCAATGTTTGAAGTTGCAGTGCCATTTAGAATGGGCAACAATGAAATTTCTGAGTGTTGTTTTTTTTTTTTTTTTTTTTTAAAAACCATTTGGCCTCTCAGGTTCTGTTTTCATTCTCTTGCCAGTTGGAGATGTAATATATGCCTTTCTGGTTCTGTTGGCTACATTTTTGTCTTTCATATGTGGGATTATCAGAGCCTGCTTCTCTGGAATAGGGAGATTACTGGCCATAAGCAGAATGTCTAAGAGCCTGTGAGAAATGAGAGTTCCTAGCTCTCCACCTCTTGCCTTGTTGCTTCCGCCATGAGGATGTGAATGTTGGTCATAGCTGGGTGCTAAGTCTTGTATTCTTCTGTAGCAGGTTTATGCTGTGGGCAGCACCATGATGATCAGAGTTGTAGTTTTGATCTTTTACATGTGGAACAATCTCCTTGTCTATTTACACATAATGGACTCTAATTTTTGTAAGATTAACACTAATGTTGAAATTATAATTTCCCTCTGACATCCAAGAAAATAAGTAAAAGGGAGTATCAATAATAAGTAATAAAAAATGTATGTTGTTAATGGTCTCAATCTTAGATTTTTGGACCAGGAGTTTAAGATTCCAAATCTACTTGATTTTAGGAATTTTGTTAATTGCTAAAGGTGTAATCCGTAGTGTCTTTCCCTTGTTAGATGGGTCATGGGAGTGTTTGATAACAAGATCAAATTTGCGTTAAGCTCTTAATAACTCTTTTCCGTTATCATTATAAATCCAAGAATTCAGGATAGAAGATAATGCAAATTAGCTTTCTCATCCCGCCGCCCAAGATGCCGAAAGGAAAGAAGGCCAAGGGGAAGAAGGTGGCTCCGGCCCCTGCTGTCGTTAAGAAGCAGGAGGCCAAGAAAGTGGTGAATCCACTATTTGAGAAAAGGCCTAAAAATTTTGGCATTGGACAAGATATCCAGCCCAAAAGAGACCTCACCCGCTTTGTGAAATGGCCCCGCTATATCAGGTTGCAGCGGCAGAGAGCCATCCTCTATAAGCGGCTGAAAGTGCCTCCTGCAATTAACCAATTCACCCAAGCCCTGGACCGCCAAACAGCTACCCAGCTGCTTAAGCTGGCCCACAAGTACAGACCAGAGACGAAGCAAGAAAAGAAGCGGAGGCTGTTGGCTCGGGCCGAGAAAAAAGCGGCTGGCAAAGGGGACGTCCCCAGTAAGAGACCACCTGTCCTCCGAGCAGGAGTTAACAGCGTCACCACCTTGGTGGAGAACAAGAAAGCTCAGCTGGTGGTGATTGCACACGATGTGGATCCCATTGAGCTGGTTGTCTTCTTGCCTGCCCTCTGTCGTAAAATGGGAGTCCCTTACTGCATCATCAAGGGTAAGGCAAGACTGGGACGTCTAGTTCATAGGAAGACCTGCACCACTGTCGCCTTCACACACGTTAATCCGGAAGACAAAGGTGCTTTGGCTAAGCTGGTGGAAGGTGTTCGCACCAACTACAATGACAGATACGATGAGATCCGGCGTCACTGGGGAGGCAATGTCCTGGGTCCCAAGTCTGTGGCTCGCATTGCCAAGCTAGAAAAGGCAAAGGCTAAAGAACTTGCCACGAAATTGGGTTAAATGTAAATAACTGTTTCTGTAAAAAAAAATAATTAATGCAAAAAAAAAAAAAAAAAAAAGAAGATAATGCAAATTACTGTCTGTATGCCAAGATAAAATTTGGGGTTGTAATAGAGTGTAGAAAATATTAAATCAAGAAAAAGTGATACTTAATTTCTGTCTGACCTTTTCAAATTTTAAAGACAGAGTCCTATAAATTTCATGGGTGATTGTCAAAAAGTACGTGAAATTGGTGAACTTTGTTTTCATAGAGAATGATTCTTGTGCTTCCTCCTACTCCCTCTTCAGTTTCTATGCTAAGCACATTAAAAAATAAAATAAAATAAAAATTTTTTTTAGTGGATGGAAATTCATTGCTTGGGCTTCACTGTTCCTTTTGCATTAGATATAGATTGATCAGTACTTTGAAAATGGGTAACTTGTTTAAAATGAGCCTGGAGTGTATGTGTATGTTGGGTAGAGAGGAAAGGGGAAAATTTGCTGGCCCAGCTATATCTTGAATGTTAGGAGATGCACAATATGCAGAATTCATTGTGATACACCAGAACATAGCCTTAGAATTAAGAGACCAGATTCAAATACCAGCTCCACCAGTTAATAGCATTGTGACTTAAGATGGGTTACTCTCCACCTTTTGGTCTTTAATTTGCCTGTCTGTAAAATGGGAATATGAGCTACCTAACCTACAGGGGTGCTGTGAGTATTAAGTGAGAACATTATAGGAACATTTCTGGTACACCAACTTTTGGTTCATCCTGTTGTAGTGGTAGGCACTAGCAAAATTCATTCTGTAGCAACTGCCATTCTTTGGCCTGTTGGCACACTTCTTAAAAAACAAAACAAAACAAAACAAAAAAACAGTTTTGCCATCTTGTGTAGCATGTTCTCTTAAAATCCGTATATTTTCCTTTCGCATTGTGGAGTGAATTAAGGTGATTCAAATTAGGTAAGAGTAAAGGTCTTCTTTGGATCTGCAACTAAATATATACATCACGGCACTAAGGAATTCTTCATATGCAAGAAACCTGCTTCTCTCTTAAAAGCCGTCTTATTTCACTGTTACCCAAACTAGGACACCTGTGGTGACATAGGTTGGTGCATTAGGTAACTGTTGGAATTTGATTTGTTCCATTTGCCTGGCAGAAGTAAACACATCTTACTGTTATGTGGTCCAAAGCACTCATGACTGTTAAAACAGGATTTTATGTGAGTGAGTTTTTCTTGACATTTTCTTAGATATTAAATTATCAGACAGCCTTTAAAGTAATCATGTGGGAGCAATTTCAGGGCTTTATATGACAGATTTTTTTTTTTTTTTTTTAACATTCTTTCTGGGTGTGAAATCAGGAAAAGCCAAATGGGTGAAAGGATTATTTTCTTAGAAGGTACTAATTAATTTGAAGATACCAGTTTCCTGGGAAGAAATGTCCTGATTATCTGTGCAGCATCTTTACTGAGCATTCTGAGGAGTTGGAGTTCTTTTTCAGGGATTACACAGGTACATTCCTTCTGTTGAAAGGCAATGCTTGTACATACTCACAACTTAACTTTGTAATAACACAGGAGTCCTTGAGCCCCCAGTGTTGTCTACCAAATAATTGTGTTTACATCCATTTGTGACTGTATGGGGAGAAGGGCCTTAGGTGTTACTTGATACTCAGAGGGGTCTGAAGTCTCCTCTCCAAAAGACTAAGAACCACCACAGCGAGCCAATATGTTCAGTTTTCAAACTCAAGCAGAGACAGTTAGAAGCAATAAAATCAGTAGGTTACAGACTTTAAAAATGAAGTATACTCATAGCTTACACTATTCGAGCATTTATATATTGATGTGGACATGAGGGACAGAATTCTCTCAAACGTCTGTCCTCATTGGACTTGTACATTTTTATAATAGTATCTGGGTGGGATCCTGTGAATCAATGGACAACAAATGAACAAAACAAATGGATGAATTAGGAATTGTTAGTGGAAGCAGATTGTCATTGTTTTCATACGAAGGGGAACATATGCCGACAATTGAGATTGTAGGCCTGTGCTTTCTGTAATTTGTTTAGTAGAATCTACTGTGGATACTCCTTACAATCAATTCCATTTATTGAGTCTGTGCCAGGCACCGTGTGTCATTCGTTTTGTGCATTACCTCATTTTCTTCTTTTGATGACAATATCAGATTAGTATTACCAGTATATATAATAGTTGGTTCCCATCTGCCTCAAATGGATTTGTTTCTCGTTAAATCAAATCATGGCCCAAGGGCTGCACAATGTACTTTCATGCTCTTTCACTTTTATGGGTTTCTGTTTTTGAGGACCAAACTTATCTTGAGGACCTACTTTATTCTGAGTGCCACCACCACACTGGAGAAGGGAACAAGAGCCTAGTCCACTGTCTCACCTCAGTTTGGGTCACCTCTTTGCAGGGAGCACATGTGACCTTGGAGACACAGTAACCTTCTGGGAGCAGGTGAAATGAGTGCGTGGGTTGAGAGACCCTTTCCATCAACGGTGGACACTGGCCTAGGAACGACTCCTGTTTAAAGCCCTAGTCCTCTGTGAGCCTTCCCTCCCAGGCTTAATTTGTTCCCTATGGGCATTATTTTACCCCTATATTGGCAAAAAAAAATAGAAAAAGCATCAGCTCAAGGACATTGTGGGATAGTCCTTGGAGACCAGCACCAAGGAAGATTTCATGCCTCTGAAAGGCTCCCTTCTCAGTGCCAGAACCTGTTAGCAAGGCCAGGTCTGCAGTGCGAGCTCCTTAGGCTTCCCCCACTTCATCGAGTTCCATTGGTGGATGGCACTTTATTTCCTCCGCTCCTCCCTCTTTTCTCCTTCTCTGTCTCTCCTGACTCCTTGCTTTTTTCACTATCCTTCCTTTCCGTTTTCTCTATTTTTAATGAAATACAGATTCTTGAGAAGATCTTTTCCACTCAAAGTTTGCTTCTTGTTAACATTAGCAGGGTGTTTCTGCAGAGGGGCTTGTTTTTTACAACGTTAAACAGGCATGTAACTTCAATTTTAAATTCTTTCATGGCAGACATCTTTGTAGTAATATATATTTGTATTCCCTGTAGCTCATAAGTGTTGTATAGCTAATAAGCAGCCAAGGAAAATTATCAGAATACTTACTTACTTTACCATGATTCCAGAAACTTGACAAAGTACTCAAGAAATTTTTAAAAAATCTATCAAGAATAATAAGTTTGGGCTAAATTTTAATAGCAGTCTGATATAGTCTGAATAGCACATCTGAGAATGAGATACACATTGCTGAATAGGCTAGTAGAGTTTTGTGTTTAGGTGGAGATCTATTTAAAAAATCTGGATTTGGGCTGGGCATGGTGGCTCATGTCTGTAATCCCAGCACTTCAGGTGGCCCAGGCAGGCGGATCACCTGAGGTCAGGAGTTTGAGAGCATCTTGGTCAACATGGTGAAACCCCCCCTTTGCTGAAAATACAAAATTAGCCAGGCATAGTGGCTCATGCCTGTAATTTCAGCTACTTGGGAGACTGAGGCAGGAAAATAACCTGAGCCACTGGAGGCGGAGGTTGCAGTGAGCTGAGATTGCACCATTGCAGTTCAGCCTGGGCAACAGATCAAGACTCTTTTTCAAAAAAAAAAAAATCGATTTGAATTTAAATGTAACTTTTGATTTAAAAGAGTTTATAAGAATAATATGTTTTAGCTTCATCCTGTTCTTCAATCGGAAGTACAGGCTTGGCAGCTCTGAGTTTACCAGAGGGGATGAGTTTGTGCTAGACGATGTGCGTGCGGAAGCCTGGAGGGGTACCAGGTCTTTTTCCTTGGATTATATGTTGGTCCATAAGTGCTGAGAGGGGCACAGCTGCGGACAAGGAGGTGGCCGGGCACAGTTGAGATCTTCCGCTGCAGTGGGATCTGGTTGATCAGCAGTAGTGGAGCTGAGTCTGAAAACCTGTGCTGGACTAAAAGTGCCTCATTTCACAGTGGGGCTGAGTGATTAGGTAGCTTAATATCTCTGTAAATGCTCTTGTTTTTGTAAACGTCTGTTAAAATGTGGCCTAATCAAATGCCATTGTCTGGTTTTTGCATTTTTAAGAGAAGCAAAATAAAGGTACAGAATGATTATCACAGCCAACTGCCAAGACATTGACCCTTAGGTTAATACCGGCAGGCACTCAACGTGATTGTTTAAATTAGATATTTTATTTAAATAATGATGGGTATAATAACCAAGTGCAGTGAACAAGAAAAAGAATATGGGGTTTGTGGCTGGAAAGAGGAAACATTAATTTTTTGTTTGAAGTGATGTGTTGCATAGAATTGAAAGATACTACCAAAAGGTTAACAGGCGTAATTTGAATGCTAAGCATTTTTGGCTCTTTAATAATATCTGTTCTATTTTTAATCCCTTTAAAGTCTTTATAACTGTGTGTCCATTGTGGATTTGATATTGCTGGGAATTTTGGCGTTTCTCTGAACGTTTTTTCTGAGTTGAATACATGAAAAGTCATGTGTTCTTTTTTTGCATAATATAAACAAATGTTTATTTGAGAAAATACAATCAGATAGAGATATCATACCCTTATCAGTACTCTCTCACTGGGAGCCACCTGCCAAAATCTGAATGTATATTCTTTTGATTTTCCTTAAGTTTATCTCTGTGGATGTATCATAGACTGATTTTATTAATTAGTCATATGGCTTGACCATTGTTCTTACGGGCATTTCTGTAACCAAATGTGAAGAATGAATTTTGAATGTTTTCATTGTATCTTGTTTCATATTTATGTCAGATTTTTACTTCTTGAAAATATTTTAAAACTTGATGTAGTTAATTCATCAGGATGCAGTATTGTAAATTTTGCTATAGGCTTTGAATGGGGAAACATGACTTTCTTTGCCGAGTTCTTGAGGGTGTGGCAGTCCCCTCTGTTTTCAGGGTTGCCAGGCGCTGGAAACACACCTCCTCTACAACAGCACCCACTTTGTTTTTTTGGTCGCAGGGGGCTGAGTCCGTAACTCGAATTAGGTTGTTTATTTTGTAGTTGCCTCTTCACTATTTATATGTAAGGTTTTCAGATTTTAGGTACATTTTTCAGGCTACTAAAAAAAACATGAGAAGGAAGCCTAGAAATTAATTATAAAGTAGAACAGGTCAGCCGCTTGTTTATATGTCATTACTTTCCTAAATAATTTTGTTCATGCCACAACAGTTTTTGAGGCTCCAATGAATGTAAGGAAACTTAATGCTTTCTTATCTTGAATTTGGTGAAGTTTATTTGGGAAGCCCTTTCTAAGATTTGGAATTATCTAGTCAAAACCACTGAATGCCTTTTTCTGACAGCGTAAAAGCCTGGACTCCCTTCTGACAGATCTTTGCTGTTCTCCCCTGAGCCTGACATTTGGAAGAGTTAGGGGAGCCTGCAGCCTCCACAGCTGCAGAAGCTGTGCAGCAGCCCCCTGGCAGGAAGCAAGCATTTCAGGAATTTATACTGTGATCTGCAGAACTGCAAAATCTAGAACTTTCCACTGTTTCTGTTGGAAGCAAAACCTAGAGTTGTGTTTTAATACCATGAGCTACTTAAAACCAGATAGGTTTTATTTTTATAATTTGCCTCCAGGATTACAGATAGTTCTTGGTGAGTTTAACTGCAGAAAAGGATGTGAATTATGCCAAAAGAGCTTAACAGAATTTTTTACTGTCAGATAAGTTTCAAAATTATTTTCAGTGAAAAAGGCACCTATAGAAGAATGCATGGCATGTTACTTTTATAAATACTAACTGTTGCAACGTCTTACTACTTCAGATCTGCGGGGCTTGCTTGGCCACTGATCGCTCCTTGA